AAACTTGAGTTACAATAAATATTTACAGTGTGAATAGTGATTTGTTTTGTCTAAACTTGAGTTACAATAAATATTTACAGTGTGAGTAGTGATTTGTTTTGTCTAAACTTGAGTTACAATAAATATTTACATTGTAAATAGTGATTTGTTTTGTCTAAACTTGAGTTACAATAAATATTTAGTGTGAATAGTGATTTGTTTTGTCTAAACTTCAGTTACAATAAATGTTTACAGTGTGATAGTGATTTGTTTTGTATAAACTTGAGTTACAATAAATGTTTACAGTGTGAATAGTGATTTGTTTTGTCTAAACTTGAGTTATAATAAATGTTTACAGTGTGAGTAGTGATTTGTTTTGTCTAAACTTAGCATGTATAAGGTGGATTAGACATCATGTTTGTGTTACATAAATGAAACACTTTTTATCTTGGACCAGTTATGTATAACCTGTTATTAAATGTTAATTTTGGTCTGCTGAGATTCTCCCCTGAATTTAACATGAAAACAACCAAGGATAAAAATAAATATAGCCTTTTATTTTTCTGTGGGTATCTAATGTTGCATCTCAAGCTTCTATTAATTATTCATAATATTCAAACCATTTCTAGCTTTCACACAAAGGAAGATAAATATACAAATAAAATCTAACACTTCTGTTCTACAAAAATCAAGTCAGAATTTTTTATAAGTCTTAATTTTTTTAAAAACAATAATAATCCTATGTAGTTTTCCAACTTTTCACCATAATAAATGACTGCTCTACTTTACAGTACAGTTTTACATGTATTTACATTTAAATATGTATCCTGCCTATACACACATTTTAGATAGAGATTCCACTATTTTCTTACAGACCTTACTACTTTATTTTTATGCACCCAGAAGTAAAGTTGAACATGTACTGAATAAAATAGTTTGAGAAATTAGGAACAATTTATGACTTCGTAACAGTTATTTTATAGTCCCATTATTCTTTATTACTTTTTAACCATGCAAGTTTTACCTGTTTTTCAATTTAAATAAGACGGTTTTATTCTAAGATACGTATATGAAACTCACAATTTTGTTTTCTGTGAGATTAACTAAAAAGTAGAAAACACCCAAGTGCTTTTTTCTATTTGTGTGAAACTGAAAGATTACTGGATGGATATGTGCACTTACTAATTTTGTAATTATTTACAACCACTAGTGATATAAAGATTTTGTATTATAAATTGTATTCTCTTTTCAGACTGGTTTAAAGGATATGGGAAGAAGCAACACCCACTTTTCAAAACAACATCAGCCGAGTATGGATCTCGTCCTCCGTCTGTTCACACTATGCCTGTTTGTTTTTACGCCAAGAGCAATAAATTCTCTGAGGTGAGTGAATCTCAGGAAATGTTGCAGAACAGATATTTTACTACATGTTCTCACCAGATTTGTTTGGATTATCATTGTTGATTTGTTTGGATTATCGTCAGTAATTTATATACAAAAGAAAAACATCTATCACACAACTACTAATTGAGCTACATTCTATTAACTAGCATTTTTATCCAGTATATCACGTAATATATTTTAGTTTTTTTTATTAGTTTGGACTGCTATATACTTTAGATTGCATTTAAATATCAGAATTCTAAAAAATAAATACCATATTATAGTGTTTTTAGATTTTTAAGAGCTACAGCTGTCCACTGATTTATTAACCAAATATGTTACTCATTATGTCTATACAAACCCTCTAATTTTAAACAAAGAACCAAACACAAAATAAATTAAGCTGTCTTAATTGAACAAAACACCTCTACTCTAAACCAACACCCAGAGCTACCAAGATACCTTTACTATGTTGTTAAGCAATCTTTGGTCATGTGACCTCTTTGTTTCATATTGTATATATATATTCCCTACTTGTACCTGATGATGACATAATGTTTTACATTTATAATAAAATTTTATGATGCACCCGAGTTTCTACCTTTGTTTCAATATATTTTTTTGATTTAAATTAATAAGGTTTTAGCTGTCAGTATACACGAGTTTCTTCCATGTTGTTGAAGTATAGCACTATACTGAATATTATACTTAAGGAACGTATACTACAGTGTAATGAACTGTAACCAATATTCTCTAAAATAAAAAAACTTTTACCCCAAAAAATTGATTTAAAATTACCTACATACATATTAATGAAATTCACTGAAAACTGTGTATTGTTCATTTTTATAAGTTTACAGTTTCCAAAGAAAAACCTTAGTTTACTTTCTGTAGGAGACAATTGATTTCTAAACAAACTTTTGTTTTTTCTTCGTAGATTCTAAGCAAGTGTGGTATGTACCGCAATTACTCGCTGAACACGTACAAGTAATCCAACAACACCCATTAAACTAGTAGTTTCTAAGTTAGATTGATATTTTAGGAAGAACTTCATTTGATCATTGATTTTAATGTTCTAAAATTTTGTCATGAAAATATTATGGATACTGTAATCAAAAGGGTTTGAAAGAAAGACAAGAAATCTTTAGAAAACAGTTTTCTCTGAATGTTTATGTATTGTAAGTAAAAATCTGTTTCAAATCAGTTATAATTGCCATTAACATCTCTTTTTTAATATACAAATATGGTTTCACTGCCAGTAAGTAATCTTGTTACAGTACTGAAGTTTCAGAGTTATCATCAAATGAGATTTTGATCTTTATAATAAACGTAAACCCAAACAACGTAAAGCTAGGATTTACCCTACAAAATCAATATTCATTTTAAAAAGATAGTGTACAAGCTTCAGAAAATAAATCATGTTTATAGAGAGGATTTTTCCTTATTAGTTAAAGATGAGATTTAACTGAACTTGTTAGAGGTTTCTATGTCATCATGTACTTTAAAACATACAAACTAAGAATACAGAATCAAACGTAAAGACAGATTTCTCACAAGCTTGTTTTAATTTTCATAAACTAAATCTTTCACTTTACAGTACAAACAAGTTAAACATCATTCATTAATAACTAATAAAGTGAGATGTACAGTATACAAGATGTGGTAGTTTAGTCTCTGTCAGTGTAACTGAGTTGTGGGTTTAATTCCTGCCCAATCTAAACTTTATAAAACTAAACAAAATGGCATACCACCCTATTAAAGTTACAATAAAAAGTATATACTATGTGTGAATTCAATACAAGGGACAGTCTCTTATTACATGTATACTGTGTGAATTATACACTGCCTGTAGGATAAGATGCAGTGTGAAAATTTATCAGCACTTAGTAACAGTTTTAGGTCTAATTGTGCTTATACAAAATATCAAATAAAAAAATCCTTGAAATATTCCATAAGTGTGAAAGATTAATTATTTACTAAAAATCATGGAAATTAATCACATGATCTTTAGGAGCCATCTAGTCGACCTCATGTATTTGTACATATAATTGTAATATATCGAACTATACTTTCTTTGTCATGTTACACCTCATGTATTTGTACATATATAATTGTAATATATCTAACTATACTTTCTTTCAAATACATGAGGTGTAATATGACAAAGAAAGTATAGTTAGATGTACTACAATTATATGTACAAATACATGAGGTGTAATATGACAAAGAAAGTATAGTTAGATGTATTACAATTATATGTACAAATACATGAGGTACATATAATTGTAATACATCTAACTATACTTTCTTTGTCATGTTACACCTCATGTAACAATTATATGTACAAAAGTACATCTAACTATACTTTCTTTGTCATGTTACACCTCATGTATTTGTACATATAATTGTAATACATCTAACTATACTTTCTTTGTGATATTACGCCTCATGTATATGTACATATATAATTGTAATACATCTAACTATACTTTCTTTGTCATGTTACACCTCATGTATATGTACATATAATTTATTATTTTTGTAGAACTTTTTTTTTTATAAACATTGATGTTTGATTTTGCTGTGGAATGCTGTCAATCTGACATAGTTTATACAGTAAGGGCAGCCACTGACATTATGTAGTATGGATGCAGTACCAAGTTTTCTTTTATAAGGTGAGATATTAGAGTAAGAATTCAAATAACTATACGACAAGAAACAGTGTTTATGGTTTCCATAAGTAAGGTATTGTTGCTTTCATTAATAATACTCGTTATACTAGTTACTATTGCAAATGTAATTACTTTAGATTGTCATTTATTTTTATGGTTATTTAGCCATGGCATAGCGGCTCACAGAACGGCTCTGAGTTTTTATGTGTTTTTCAAGTACAAACTTTTAGCTAATAGCTCCATCATCTCTTGACCAATTTGAGATCTAATTACAATTTTGGACTCAGGAGGCCAAAACCTTTTGCCTGATTGATGTATATGACCACTCCCAAGGACTCATAGTTTATTTT